ACCTCTGCTATCTCATGACCTCTGTCGTCACACCTCTGCTATCTCATGACCTCTGCTATCTCATGACCTCTATCTACTACCACTACACAACCGCTGTTCCTCTTCTCCGCCAGCGTGGGTCAAGAAATCTACACAACATGCCATTGTGAAGTTGCAGTTTGACTGTGTTCTTGGGATTGGTTTTATTCACTTTTAATTTGATTCTTACAATGATTCTTGGGTGGTTTCTCTTATTTATGGCTATTCAAAACTTATTGATTTGTAGCTAAATGTCTTGAATTAGGGCTGGATGGATTTTAATTTTTGGATTATGAGACAGGTTTTTTTTTTTTTTGTTTAATTCAAGATTTATTGGTTATTTACATGATAAGTTTATGTTATTCAGCTTAATGCATTGAGAGCCAAAACTTATTGATTTATGCATGAACTTAAGAAAGAATTACGTAAATTAGACCAATAATAATATAAACCATGTGTTAGACTATGAGACCAAGAGGTAATTAGCTCACATGTGGTAGTGGAAGAAGAGAAGAGAGATAGGAGCTCCCCCTTCTTAAACTAGAGGTTTCCATGGAATTTAATGCTCATTAATTTATTTAAAATTACATAGAGATATAATAAATTTGACAAACAAATGAAGGGTTAGATTCACTTGAGAAAACTGGTTAATTAATTTAGGAAAATTTGCGATTTTATGCAATAACACTATTATTTGAACTTGAATTAAATTAATTTAATAGTTACATAATTCAGAATTAAATGAAATCTAAGCCCTAGTTCCTTCCCATTCATAGTTTCTTTAACTTAGAAAATTCCTTTAGTTTAATAAGTTTTAGTTAAGTAGTTCAACTTTGTTTTATTAATTAGTTAATTCAACTTAGGTTAGATTAATATCGTCTTGGTAGTGTAAAATAGTTTTCGAGGGAACGATATCTTACTCATCTTATACTGCATAATCGATTAGATTTACTTGCCTCAGAGTAGTGCGTATTTGCTGCATTAGTACTATAATTAAGTTAATAGTTATATATTTCTATAGTTTTATAATAGTATTATTCCTATTAGTAATGATGGTATGAAATGATTTAAGATGTATGAAATAAATATAAATAAATTTTTTTAAATGTTATTGGAATATATGAGGTTAGTGGTGATTGATGGAATGAGTTTAATAGAATGAAATGTTAATGGAATTAAGAATTTATTGAATTGTTTTTTAAGAAACATATATGTATAATATTGATAGGAAAAGTTTATGAAATTTTATTTTTTAAGTAAAATAATAACATCACCGACATGATACACATCGTAAAAAGTGGTTTCAAATATTAGCATTGTATGTTATATTGCTGAAAACAAACTTTCAGCAACAAGAAATAAGTTGCTAAAAAATGGTAGTGGATATAGTCTGGAGATTCATTGATGTGGTATATGTTGCTAAATAGGGGGTGAACAGTCCAAGTAACCCATGACTTTGACCGACGTGGCTTATATTGCTGACAACTTGGCCTTTTTCAGCAACATAAGCCTTGTCGATGAATGTATGGTTTCACCGACAAGGCTAATGTTGCTAAAAAGGTTACCCACCTCTAGTCATCATCTTAGGTGACCCTTTTCAGCAACATAAGCCTTGTCGGTGAAACCATATTATCACAGACAAGGCTTATGTTGCTAAAAAGTGTACCATCAATTATTGACATATTGTTTGTTGGTAAACCATTATCGAGTGTAGTATCTCCAACAAAGAGATTACCAACATGGTATATGTTGCTAAACTACTTTTAACAACATGGCAAAGACTTTCACCTACATGGTGCCATGTTGTTGAAGGTTGAAATTTTAGTAGTGGATTAGCGTTATGTAATTTAGAACCATCTAAACTGCATAATACTTTTCTCTTTAAATTTTGGAAATTATCTTTTTAAAAGGATGTTTACAAACTCCTTCGATATTCCTAATAAATTATTGATAGGCTATAGAACTACTTAAAATTTTTGAAAAATAAATTTATTCATTAATAATAGAAAATTACAGGGGTTACAAGCCAACCCATACTGTATAGCATACTTAAAGCACTACAATAGCTAACTCTAAAAATGTAAAACACTTAATTAAGCATATAATAAAAGAGCAATCTAATGGTTACATGAATATTATAATTGAATCCAGATCATAATCTGACAACGAAGTCATAAGTTAGCATAATCCACCAAGACCAAAAGATAAATTAAAAGGTAATTATTGAGATAGGTCCCTACTAAAGTAGTTTAAGGCAACACAGCGCACAATAATCATCTCTTTTGCTTTGAATCTTCAATAAGAAAAATATAAAATAATGACAAAACTCCTATGAATTATGCCTAAAGAGATAAACTCTCACGTAAGCTAGCCTTAAGGGGAGAAAAGAATCATTGTAAAAAATAAAATAAAAAAATAAAAAAATAAAACAAAATACTGAAAGAAAAAGAGAGAGAGAAACAGAAAATCAAAAGAGAAAGAGGAAGAAAAAATAGGAACAAAAGGGAGGAGGGGAGCGGAGGTCAAGGTTTTGCACCCCTTTAATTAAAAGAGTCTTTTTTTTCTTTTTCACATCCTTAGGGAGTTATTGTATTTTTTTTTTTCAATAAAAAATTTTATTAAATGAGATTAATATTTATTAATCAGATCTATAAAAAAATTTAGACTAAAAGACACTCAAAATTATATTGTTTCAAAAAAGCACTATATGAAAAGACTAAAACGATTCCATTTCTGTTTTACAAAACTAGGATATTTTAGATTTTTCGATGAAAATTAATTAAAATGATAAAGCTGTGACGTATTTTTCATCTAACTTTTTGCCGTTATAGCTAATAAACATTTTTCTCTTATTAAAATAACGAGCAATTGTGGTGCTAGTTATTTTTAAAGTTTTTTTAGATGACTTGTCTAAATACTCATACTAGAATTAATAATTTTAGAGGAGTTGTCTAAAAACTTACACACTAATTAATATTTTTAAAAATCGATTGTTAAATTAAAAATTTTATTCATGTAGATTATACATGATAATTTTCATATTGGTATAACCCTTTTGATAAAAAAAAAAAAAAACTCTATAAACTAACATATATTTAATGGTGTTAAATTTTGTGTAATCAATAAACTGGTTGTACTTACTAAATCAATTTGAAAACTAACATAAATAATCTATATGGATAGAATTTTAAATTCATGATAAAAGTAATAATTAAAAGCTGAATTTAGAGACAATTTTTCAAAAAAAATAAAAATGACGTCATATGAAACATTTTTTCCTTAAAATAATATACTCACTTGTTCAATTTGAATAGATCTAATTTTTAATTTAAATATTCAAATTTAATTGCCTATTTTTTCATTTGCCTCTCTCTCGTTGAAGATTAGGGACTTTTGGACTCACAATAAAGTTAGGTCCTGATTGAGCAACTAATACTCCTATCTAACCACTTCTCCAAACACTATAGCTTGTGTATATATGATGGGGACCGCGTCTGCTGGCTTGTAAACCTGATAAAATTGGACACAATTTAAAATTTTAATCTAACTTACCCATTATAAATAGGGTTATGGGTCTAAGGTATTAATTTAAGAAATCCAATATGACCCAGACTTAAATTATTTGGATTCAATTAGGTTGGATCAGGGCTATATTGGGTCAACTTGAGGTGATCTTACTAAAATTAATTAATTTTTTTTAATTTAAAATTTTAATTAATTATACTTTTATTTTTAATTTTTAAATAAAAAATAAACTTAAAGTCTGATAAAATGATTATTATTTATTAGATTACTAAAGTTAATAATAATTTAATAAAATTTTTCAATTAAAAAATTAATTAATATTAAACTTTTTTAAAGAAAAATAAAAAATAAAAAAATATTTTATTTTAAATTATAAATTTTTATAAAGTTAGGTCAACTTGATCCAATTTGAGATTCGTGTGAGTGACCTATGAATAATGGATTTATCTTCTTTAATTTGAAATTTGAAGTGACCCAATTTAATAAATTTGAAATGTGAAATGATTTAATCCAAACCCACTTGATCTTATCTATTCACTAGGTCTACTGGCACGTGACATTTATCCATTTTTTAGAGATTTTATTTAATACACTTATTTTATTTTTTTATTTTTAAAAAATAATTACAATATATATTAAATAACGAATCTTATAATCTTATGGTGTACTTTTCATAATTAATTTATATAAAAAAATTAAAACTAACTTAAGTTTTATTAATTGTATAATTAAATTATTCCATGTGACATTGATATTGAAAATAAAGTTTATCTTTGTAATTTTTTGTATAAATTAATAATAAAAAAATATAATAAATACATACTTAACCTATTCCTAAAAAGATCCATTAAATAAAAAAGAATTACCTAAGTAGTCATTACTTTAAAATAAATATAAATTTTTATTGATTAACTATTTTATATATCTTTATTTTATTAAATAAAAAAGATTAGATCTATTAAAATTGAAAGAAGTAACTGCAAGTTATCCAATCTTTTGATCTGCATAACCAATTAGGCTGTAAGCCTGTTACACATCCAAGAAACATAGGGTTTAAAGTCAATTATAGTCCCTCTATTTTTAAGTTTCATTCATTGTCCCCCCTACACTTACAAATTGTTTAAAGTCCTCCCTTTATTTTTTCAAACCATACTGTTTTCCTCCTACGTTAAGTTTTCATAGCAGTTACCTCCTTCAAACAACAGTGTTACTAACTCCATCTAGCAGTGGCTTTTTTGGACGGTTAAAGTTCAACTCATTGATTAAATTATTATTATTATTGTTGAATTGCATTTTATAGACCCACTAATTTTCATGTTACCAAGTCAAATTATTATTATTATTATTATTATTTTTAAACCCAATAAAATATACAAGGCCAAGTTACTTAAGAAATGTATATTTAAAAAAAATCAACTTATATAAAGAAACAAAATTTCAGATTAATTTTTATGCACTCTCTACAACCAAACAAATTTTCATATTTAGTTTTTCTTACACATGTTTTGCAATCAAACAAATAATGAATATCAAAATGAAAATGAAAATTGAAATAGACCAAATCTAGAAAGAAAAAAGCGAAACACCAGATTTTTTCACAAGAAAAAAAAATTCATAACATAAACGCGGACATTACTAAATTAATGTAGCTGATCTAGCCACCCCTTGCTAAACTGGGATTTTGGAACGAATTTTTTGGGTGGAGATGGAACCAGGTTTTTGGTGTTATTGTGCTGAACCATAATTACTGTTTGAACCATGGCAATTTCTTCATTGTTCCCCGTGGTAGATAATTGTACAACTTGTATTCTTAGTTCCGCGGGCACAACGTATTTTTGGTAACTGTTTAGTGACTTCAGTCCCTTTTTTTTTTTTAAATTGTTCCAAACTAAAATACGAATTTTGGTCTTCTAAAAAAAAAAACGATTCTAGTTCTAAACTTTAAAAAATTGTTTATTGTAAGAATACACGGCTTGCTAACATGGAAATTAGTGAGCTCACTCAATGTAATTCAACAAAAATAATAATAATTTAATAAATGGGTTGAACTTTAACAATAAAAAAAGTCATTGTTAAATGGGAGTTACTAAGAGTGTTAGTTGACGAAAGTAATTGTTATGAAAACTTAAAACAGAGGAAGGATAATAATATGGTTTGAAAGAGTAGAGTAAGACTTTCCACGATTTGTAAGTGCACGGAAGACAATGAATGAAAATTAAAAGTAGAGAGGCTATAATTGGCTTTAACCAAAATCATATCACAGTAAAAAGGGCAAAAATATATGAAAACCCCTTTATCTTAATAAGTGTGAAGCTTTTAGTCCATTACCTGATCAATTGAAAGTTTAAGCCCTTAAACAAATCGAACAGAAAAAAAATGCGCAGAAAATTATGTTTCCGTCAATCCTTTTAACGCGCGTCACCTTGGCAAGCTTGAGTTGCCACTGTGGCAGTTGAGGCTGAATGGGACAAACAATTTTAGTTTTATTCTTTTAACTTAAATTCAAATAGATAAAAGTTTTGCTTGACAACCTTTCTTGATATTTTATTTTTTTATTTTTATATATATTTTTTATTTTTAAAATAGATAAAATATTAATTAAAATAAA